TCATGCAGCCTCTCTTCTTCTCTTTCAGTGCTTATCTCTCGACCATTGTGTTTGCATGAGATTTCAAGCCATGAAAAATCGGTCTGAACTCTAGCATTTACCGATTTATTATAGATTCTCGTTTCTGCTTATTTTTCAAACCAGTTGGCGCTATCTTAAACGGCTGGTGGTCGCTACAACATCGAAATATTTATCGCAGATGTATTTATTTTTACTTATGTGAAATAAAGATTCACCAATCACTTTTTGTTATCTTTAATCAAATCCCATATGTTACTTACTATTTAGACCCAACAGGATTTACATCGTAAAGTCATTAACCTCTGGCATTTGTGCTCCCATCATGAAGGAGCTTTGATTATTGCTATATATTCTTTGCGGAAAATTTTTGTTTAAATTTGGAGTATTTTTTATAAAAAGGCATCTTGAAATAATTATGGTCCACTGAACCACATTCCTAATATGCAATAAAAGTGATTAGAAGAGGGGGGGTTGAATGCTCATTCACGGAATGTAACTCATAACTTTTTGCAATTCCGAGTGTTCCCCTCCAGCACAGAGATAACTCTGACTCTATCTTACGCTAGATTTCCTCTGGAATTAGAAGCGAAGATTGGACACAAAGCTTAATAGATTCCCCACTTCATATCTTTTGGAACGGAAACACGTGAATTGGTTTATATCCGTATTACTTGAAAAATCTTTGGTTGTAACCACGTTTTGTGCAAACTAAATGCAAATTGTTAAGTCTTTGCTGAGCAGTTGCGCTGTTTAAACTCGTAATGCTTTGTATTACATATATATATATATATATATATATATATATATATATATGGATATTTCTCGCATGAATTTTCGATTCGTAGATTATTATTTTTAAGAGTACATATCTAGCCAGAGAGGAAATATGAAGCAGATAAAATGGTTGACTTGAGCCTTCTGATGCTTAACTCGGTAATCACATAAAATGAACTAGCATAATAAGAAAAAGAAAAGAATTGTCAATTGAATATATTTATTGATCCTATGGCTGAGAAGGGGTTCGGCGTTATATATTAGTATTCGTCAACATGCGCCATTTGAGGTACATCACGAGTTTTTACGATTAAAATATTTGCCAGAACGGCTATTGTGGCTATTGCGATAGAGTCTAATATTGGGCATACTGGTTTTATGAGATGTATTAACCCTATTTCGTTTAAGGTGATGAAGGACTGGTAGTAGAATTTTCCAACAATTATATGAGTAGAGC